CCTTCGTTGTCGAGGAACGGGTGCAGAGGTCGAAGTTTGCTTCTAGGATGTAATTCTCCGGATTTTAGGTTTTTGATATCTTGTGTAAATGTAATTGACTGAACGGACGTGATGATGCGGATGTTGGCTTCGCGTAGCTCCTTGATGGTCAAGGGGCCTGTGTTACGACGGGCAGGCGCCAGACGTAGACAATATGCTACAATTCGCCGTAGTTTTTGGATGCAGGAGTATCGCGTAAATATCTCGTTGGGTTGATTGATTGCGGTGACGAGACAAGTGATTCTTTTCGTTTCTGGTAGTTCGTTAGAAAGGGTGAAGCTTGAGTTGGGCCATGTGGATTGTTCTTGAGAGAGCCATGTCGGCCCGTGTCGCCAGAGTGTACTGCCGAGGAATTGTGTCGGTGTGGTACCTCTCGAAAGTAGATCGGCTGGGTTGTCTCTTGATTTGACGTGACGCCATGACGACGGTTTGGTTTTGTCTTGAATGTTGGCTACGCGGTTCGCGACGAATGTCTTCAACGTGGACGGCTGTTTGTTCAGCCAATTTAATACGATTGTGGAGTCGGTCCAAAAGGTGACATCGTGAATGTCATGTGTGATGGCTTTACGAACGGTTTGATAGAGCGAGGATAAGAGGACAGCTCCGCAAAGTTCTAAACGTGCAAGTGTGATGGTTTTTAGTGGTGCGACACGGGATTTTGCGTTTAATTGCGAGTAATTGTGTTTTGACACGACTGTCTTTATCTATTGTTCTTACATATAAATAAGCGCCGTAGGCTCGTTCGCTGGCATCGCAAAATCCGTGTAGTTCTATCGTTTTCGCCCCCTTTGTGATTACGTGGCGCTCGAATTCTATGTTGTTTAAATGTTGCAACGAGTTCTCGTATTCGACCCACTCCGTGTGAAGGCTGATCGGCAGAGATTCGTCCCAATCGATTTTTAGCTGCCAAAGTCGTTGCATTAGAATTTTGGCGATCACCGTTACTGGTCCTAATAGTCCTAATGGGTCGAAGATCCTGGCGATGGTCGATAGAATGTGAACGTGGTTTGGTCACCTTGTTGGCTGTGGCTGTCTGTACGGAGTAGCGAATGGTGTCGTGCTCCGCGTCCCATGAGATGCCCAACGTCTTCATCGCGGTTGCATTGCCCAGGATCTTTGGATGGATAAGATCCGTGTGCAGTCCCGCGAGAAGTTTGGGTTCGTTGGAGGCCCATTGTCGAATGGTAAGACCTCCCTTCCGCAGTAACCTTATGATTTGTCGTTGGATGACCTGAGCCTCTTCGGTCGTGTCGGCACCGGTCAACAGGTCGTCGACGTGCAAATCACGTTTGATGCTGTTGGTGTTGCGTCCTGCTCGTCGTCTGCCAGCTGGTGTAAGCATCTTATGGCAAGATATGGTGCTGAGGAGAGTCCGAAAGTGACAGTATTTAGCTCGAATGTAGCTATTTCGCCGCAACTGTCTCGCCATAAGATGCGTTAGTATGCACGGTCGTCCGGTCGGACAATGAATTGCCGGTACATCTTTTCGATGTCCGCGGTTAGGACAACTGCGTGCATTCGAAACCGAATCAACAAGGTGAATAAATCGTCTTGGATGGTGGGGCCCGTCAGTAACGTGTCGTTTAATGATAGGCCGCTGGTCGACTTGGCGGAGCCGTCGAAGACTACGCGAACCTTCGTGGTCGTGCTTGAGGGTTTTTCAACGGCGTGGTGTGGTAGGTAGCACCCGGGTGTATCGACGGTGTCTACCTGTGTCATGTGCCCGAGCGCGAGGTACTCGTTGATTACTTGGTGGTATTGTTTTCGTAATTCGTCGTTCCGCGCTAATCTCCGCTCGAGTGCCAAGAAGCGTTTGAGGGCCATCGACCGAGAACCTCCGAGTTCCTCCCTTTTTTCGTTGAAGGGTAACGCGACCATGTATCGTCCGGACGCGTCACGCTTGACGTTGTTGCTGAAATGTGTTTCGCACTCCTGCTCTTCGAGTGTTGGATGGTGCCTATGGGGTCCTTCTTCGACCTCCCAGAAATTTTGTAAATCGAACTGTATGGTGGTGGAAAACGTGTTGCGTGTTGTTCGCGGCGTAGGGATCGGGACGCTACCTCCAATGACCCATCCGAATTGAGTTTTTTGGAGGATTAACTCGTCGCTGGGTCGTTTGGAGATATTGTATTGCCCGATGCTGAGACAAGACAGCGCCGGTCCGGTCCCTAGCAACATGTCGATTCGTTCTGGTCGATGGAAATTCGGATCGGCTAATTTGATGTTCGAAGGAATGCCTAGTTTCGCTCGGTCGATTTGCACGTCGGGTAGCGGGCCTGCGATTCTCGGTATCGTCAGGAAAGTCAGTGTCCGTTCGTAGTTCGTAAGTCTCGATTTAATGGTTGT